AAAATATTATCCTTTTGAGTTCTATATATATAGGGTTTAATATAAGTTAAACTTAAGATAAAATAGACAGAAGTATGACATGAATAAAATAAATTTCTTTTTTTTATATTTATATATGTATCAAATAATTCATTATTCTATTAACATTAATGTGTTTTAATTTTAGTTATATAAGTTCTATAAAAATAAGATTATTTTTTATATACATAAAAAATTTTATTTTTTTATTCATTTAAGCACTGTGTTGTTATGAGAATGAATGAATTATTATAATATATTTTATTTTGTGTAAATATTATAATTTTGTAATAATATTATAACTATTATAAGTATAAGCACTTATTTGCTCATATACGCATGGATTATGCCAAAGTCCAAATAAAAAATATTAAAACTTATTGTTTATTTACTTTATATTTTATATGTAATCTTATTCATTATGATGAATAATATATATAAGAATGATAAAGTATTTATATTTTTTGCTGATTTTAGATGTAATTATAAATATATTATATGTAAAAGAAAAAATTTAATTAATCATATTTTTATAGATTTTATATTTTGAGTATCAAATGAACCTTTTTTCATTTGTTCATAATTATTACATATATCAAAATATTTTATATATCCATATATTACATGCGCTCATTATTTGAACAAAAACATCTGTAATTGTAAATATATATTGAATATCATAATTTTCCACAAATAAATTATTATATATGATTTATAATGTAACTTACTTATATTCGCATTAATATTGGGTAGCTATTTCATCATATTTAAATTATATAAGGAGACTTTATCTTATGTTTTATTAAAGGATTATTTATATTCCATATATATTCATTATTTTTTCAAACGAAGTAGAAGTATAATGATAAAGATTGTTATCCGACTTTTTTTAAAATTCCTGATAGCTTAAGCTCATTTCATGTGGATAAGCATTCAGATATATTACGAAAAAATGATTGGATATTAATAAACATTGTTGTTTATTTTATTCAAATAGTTGAGAACGAAAGAACATTTTGTTATTGAGAATGTATATAATGTTATTTGGATGAATATAAAATAATTGTGGCTTATTATGCAAATATATGAATAAATAGTTAAAAAAAAAAGGGTCTTATATTGATTTAACGGAATGTGTTAGAATAATAAGAAAAATTAAGATAAACATATTGAATATCTTTATAAGAAATATAAAAAGATTGAACATAATAGAAATTTGTGTTATAGGGTTAATGAATCATATTCAGTAGTATTATGAGGACATATTATACTTCATGGATGCAATAAAAACAATCGCATTAAGCTTGATGCCATTTTACAATCTAATGAATATAGTAAAAAATGTATATATAACTCATAATCTATTTCTTCATTGATGTTTTTAAGAGTTCTATCTTCTATAAGATACGTACTTTGAGGAACTCTTGTAGTAGTTATCATTATTCATAAAGTATGATACACATAATAATAAAAAAATGTGTGGTATTTCGTATAAATTTCAGAAAATTATAATTAAAATTAAAAATTCATGCGAAATATATATTATTTTTTTTTAATCTTATGCTCTAGTTTATTCCTATGTAATCTTGGATAAGGAAACTAATAGTATAAAACAGAAAAAACATAAAAAAAATTTATAAAAAAGAAGCACAAGAATTTTTCAAAATCTCAGAAAAATTGGCTGATAAATAAGTAATCCTGATAAATAATATCCTGTGTGTTTGCTTTCAAACGTGAAATATTTAACTAAAGTATATTTCTTTTAAATCCAATATATAGCATGTAATATATATGACTAGTTAATATTTATTTTATATGTTTTTTTTGTTATCATTTATAATGTATAATTCATTAGTTTTTTTTAGTGAAATCGACAGAAATTTAACATGAATTTGATATATTTCATTATTAATTATTAGAATAATGAAATTTTGGAATTATCTCATCATATTGTATTGTTATATATATAAAAAAATCTATAATTAAATTAATCAGCATACAATATATTATATTAATTTATTTGATTGCATTTTTATTTATTTTTTATATATTAAAAATGAAGTGATATATATCGTTTTAGTTTTGGATTAAATCAATATGAATAATAATTGATATTTTCTTAATGTGAAATACATTTTATATTCAATAAATAATGTTTATAATGTATTCCTAGAAGTGAAAAAAATGCTGGATGTAGTAATACAGGATATTATTAAATTAAAAAAAGTTAAATGTATAATTTATATACGCGTGTTATATGATGACAAAAAGAAATACACTGAACGAAAAAAAAAAAAAAAAAAATAATGAGAAGAATCTGTAAAGATATAAAATTAATATTATGCATAATCTGAAATTAATATATAATATGTGAATTAAGGAACATATTTTTTGATATAATAAGATATTATATGTTAAATACAGGAAGTATTTTATCATATATATGTTATAACATGCTGATAAAATTTTTAGTATTGTTTGAAATTGAACATTCAATAATAAAAATGAAGGAAATAATAAAATTCCCTATTGTAGAAGTTCAAAGCATAATTGAATTCAATAATTATGGATAACATTTGATCACTAGGTAAAATAATCATGCATATAATTTACGTAAATCATGTATGGATAAAGAAATACATTATAAAATAGATTATAATTACGATTAATGACAAGATATTCTATTTGTTATGCATCGAACAAAAGAGATAAATTAACATAAAATCATGTATACATATTAGAATAATGATATTTCTTGTGCTGAATCTCTATTATATAAGGATAAGTATAAATACAAAAGGGAATATATGAGTCATAAATGTTTTCTGAGTTTGTATTTATATATTGTTAATAACATAGATTATTTATGTATATAAATTCTTTTGATATGTATGACCTTTAAATATTTGTATATTTGTCAATTTAAAGTATGCAGACATAAAAGAAAATATAAATATTCGATTATGTATTTGTAAATATACAATTATTATTGTATAATTTTAACGTATCTACAAAGAAGTATACTTAATTGAGAATATAATTTATTACAATATTATTTAAATAATAGATAAATCAATTGTATACATGAATATCAGTTTAATTATAATTAGTAAAATATTTAGTTATGCAAAAGAATATATGCTCAGTCAAAAAATATTGATGGCATGCTTTCGAAAATTTTAAGAGATGATATATTAAAAATAACTAGGCATGAAACAAAATTAACTTATCATTTAAAAAACTCATGTATAATATAAATATTTTAAAAAATAACTGAACTAAATTATATCAAAGTATATTTTCATGATTAGTGAGGTAGTTATTATATTAAAATAATCAGTTGCTTCATTAAATATGGAATTATAATTTAAACATAGCTTATAATACGATTTTATCTATTATGATCAATTCAACATTTATTTTAGAAATATGATTTACTGATTATATAATATATATAGAATAACACATTTATTTATTTAATTTTTTTTATTTTGTGTCATTATATAAAATTTATAAAATGTGCAATTTGTTATACTGAAATAAATATATAAACATAATATTTACTATATAATTAGTTTAATTTGTTATACACATGTTAATAAAATATTAGAAAGAAATTATAAATATGCTGTTCTTAAGGTTTTTATGATATAAATGTTAATACATGAATCGTAAGGAAATATTAGTATCTAAATAAAGGAATATCATTTTAAGAAATTGCAATACACTATAGTAAATAAAAAAGAGAAGAATAAATTAATGACAACTAAGAAAAATACATATATAATACTAAAATGCTTATTGTATAAATATATTATGTTTTAATGAAATAATCCTTATTATCCTTAATGTAGCTTTTTACACGTTTAAATATAAGAAATTCTTTTTACATAATTAGTTATATATACACCTATGTTGTTTTAATTTTTTTTGAAGGATTCTCTAAATTATAAATTTTAGGATTAAATAATTTTGCTTCTATACACTTGTGGAATAATAATACTAAATCTTTAATTTATATATTCTTATAATATTATGGTTATATTATAAATGCATGATCTTTTTATAAAATATTCAATGTACATAATTACTGATTAATTTTATCCATAATAAAAAAATTAATAAACACATAATTATAAATTATATAACTATGAAATATATATTATTCTTCTATTATATGTTATTATTATGTTGAACTTATATTATTATTATCTGAATTCTTGATATCTATTAATGAATATATTTAAGAAATATTGGGGAAATGATAAATATAACATAACTATTTACAATAATATGTTGGATAATACTACTACTGTCGCAGAATATATTTTTATTGGGAATTTATGAGTCATATTATTATATAAAAATACATTTTATAGGTAACATATTTTTTATATTAGCTAATTTTTACTTATTATTTATATAATAATTAAATATATATTAAAAAATGTTATATTTATAAAAATAAAAAATATTGATTATTTATAATTCCATTTTATATATATTATTGTGATTATGTAAAAATTTTCGTGGAAAATATAATTTTAAATCATAATCTCTTTACATCTTAATATATAAAAAATATGTAATAATATGTATTATAATAGAACTTGAAATATAATAATATTTTTATACATAATTACCATTTCTTATTTATTTAAAGGAATAATTATTGTAAATATTATTTTTATGGTACAATGGAAATTATTAATTTAAAATATTGGTCATACATTGTTTCAATGAATATGCAGTTCAAAAGAATATATATTTAATAAATTATAAATGTAAATATATATGTGAATACGCAATGATAAATATAAGTAAGTATAGTATATCTATAAATTATAATGCATCAGTTATTCATTTAATATATAATCTCATGTATATATTATTTTATAAAAACCTTAATATGAAAATAATGAAGTGATATAACCACAAGAAATAATAATTCTTATTAAAACACGTTGTGTTATCTAGAATAAATGTGGAAATTATACTACATATTTCTTTTAATAAAAAAAGTTTTATTAAAAAAAATTATACTTAAACACTTTATTTAAAACAAAGGACGAACTCATATTTGGATATACATGACATTTTAAGAAAATTACAATTTCAGTTAAAAATATAATATTCGTAATAATTGTGAACTAATAAAATTATATTTAACATATTCATATATTTATTTGCTTAATATAGCAAAATAATTGGGTCCTTTATCCTAAAATTGGATCCATATGGTTGTTTAATAATTTCATTATTTTATTATTTTCACTCTCAAGCCTATATTAAATATTTCTTTGTGGAGACATCAAAGGTGCTTTAAAATTATTATAATATAACCAGATTTATTACATTATAAGTCTGTTCGGGATCCAACAAATTATATTAAAATTATTTAAATATAACTTTAGTAAGTTTATAATATTTTTTTTCTTTAGTATACATATATAGAACATTTTCCTTATTGGAAGAAAAGTATAGATAAAAATCCTCATATAAGTCAAATATTTATCAATGAATGCCAAAATAGAAGTACTTATTTAGGTATTTATCTTTCAAATGTTAGTGATAATAAATGTCACCATGCTATGTCATATCTTACTGATTTAAATGCTAATGAAAATTCAAGCTTAAACGTGGCTGGATGTTATTACTTTTATTATTGGATATATGCTGATATTCTTAATAATGAAATAAAAAATACAGACGATATCAAAAATATTTATGAGGGTTTACTCAACATATATATCAAAGCATTTAAAACTTTTAATCGAACTCATGTTTGCGAAGAATATAAGAATACTTTTACAAATGATGATGTACGAAAGCTAACAGCAATATATAACATATATAATAGTATTGATGTTTTGAGGGATTTGTGTGGATCTAATAGGGAAGATAACTTCTGTAATGAAATAGAGACCATTATAAATAAATATAACATAATAAGGAAATATACATCTAAAGAAATAAGTGAAACCAAAACATTGACTCCCTGCAGTAATAATATTGGTGTTCATATTATAATTACAGCTGTGGTGACATTATTGATCTTAATTATTTCATTTACCATTTATAAGGTTAGGAATGTTTTTATTTATAAATATTTACATTATAATATATTTTTTATATATAATTCAACATAATATATTTTTTTAATACATGTTTTTTTTTATGAAATAGTTTACTACATTTGGTACTTGGTTGCGCGATGCAATAATAAGGAAAAAGAGACACTGGAATAATACCAGTGATGACATTAATTTATTTGAATCATCTGATTTATCTTCCCGTAATTTAAGAAATAATGAATATGACATATTATATCATTATTCCTAATATAAGTTATAAATATGAAATTAGAAAGAATTATTTGGTCTGAATATCCCTAATAATACTGGAGTCAATATAAGTAAAGAATAAATTTATTAATTAATTAAAGTAGGGATAAAATAATTCATATATTATAGTAAAATAAAAAGAAATATTTGAATTTATTAATATATATGACAATGATTAAAAATAATATAATTTTGCATTGACTAATATTTTACGTATTAACTGTATAAGTACTGAACTAAAATATTTCGAATAAATTTAGTATTTAATCATTTTCACATAATATATATATCTTGGAATATATAAATTTATTCCTTAATAATTTAATCTGTTTATGTGTTAAAGAAATACTATATAGGCTAATAATGTAATAGAATTTTTTAAATTGTGATACTTAATATTATATTTACACATAATATATATTAAAATGTAGAAACCTTCTGTGGAATGTCAAATTTATCAAGATGAAAACGAAAATAAAATCAAATACAATAGAAAAAAATATATATCATGTTTAGGACATGAACATATATAATGATAAATGTTTTAGAATGATTTTTATTAATGTTGTAAAATAATATTCCATTATTGTGCAAATAAAGAATTATATAGATATTCATGCATAATTAAGATGTCTAACAGTGTATAGAATAATATAAGAATTGATAAAATTTTTGATGATATATAAAAAAGTATGTATTGAATTAAACTAATAGCAATTATAAGTGTATATTAATGAAAAAAAGAAAAAGTGAATATACTTGTATTATTAAGCTTTAAAAATTTATACATATATTAAAATTATATATATATATTATAATGGTATTAAGTTTTTCTTTGTGATTTACAAAAATGTATTGTAATAGAATACATTTTCATGTATAATGTATTCAATAAATTTTATAAAGTTATTATTTGATTACTCAATTACCTATGTGAGCATATTTATATTAATATAAAGAACATCGTAGATTATATTATACATTATATTTTCCATATATTTTTTTAGCAGTTTAAGCAATTATGACAATTTAATCTTGCAATAATGAGTAAATTATTTTAATATTTATAGTTGTATTTTAAATTTAATTTCTTGTATAAATATAAAATTACATATTTTTTTATAATGACAATTTATTATTTAAATGGTTAAAAAATATATATCTGTATTTATTAAATTTTATGTAGAATTAATTTAAAATATACATTTTAATTTTTTTTCTGACTGATTATTTATAAATCAATTATTGCTATTTTAATATGTGTACCTAAACAACTATTCATGCCTTGTATATTTCTTGTGTTCTTCAAATTTATTATAATATTCTTTCTTAATGATTTAATAATTTAATAACAATATTTATTTTATTAATATTATTGCATTTCTAGCATACACTTAGTCAAGGAGAATAATCCAATAGATGATCAATTATAAATTTTAGCACATTATTGGGAAAACATATAGCTACGAAGGCATTAATAATAATAATATTAAAAGAAAAATAACTTGTTCATGTATATAACAAAAAAGTATGAATTGAAAAAAGAGATACATCAATATATGGGAACATAAAAAAAGTAACATCGCGTGATTTGGATGTTTATATTAAGCATTATAAAAGTACACATTTTAAAATGATATGATTAGTTAAATGGGAACTTTATTGTGAGACATAAATATTTAATCTTATAGGAAATATTTGCAGAATAGCAAATATTTCAAATGTAAGTAGACGTTTTATATATATAACTATGTTTAAGGAGTATGAAATGAGTATTGTTATGATTAATTTTTTTTTACATTATTTTAGGAGTAATAGGATCTTACACATTTAAAATAGAAATTATATTATTTTTCTTGAATACATTTCGTTGTAGTATTCATAGAAAAATAAGAGCAAACCTGCTTCCACATTCATGGTATATATGTGCGTATATATCATACACTTTGTACGAAAGTTAATAATTTTTTATTTATAAAAACTATAAAATACGAATAAATAAAAGTATATAAATGTATAATAAATTCATAATAACAATTTCTTTTGAATTATAGTACTCATTAATTTTTTTTGTACATGAAACAACATTATTTATATTATCTCTATTATAATTTAATATTTATTATACCATTTTGTATATTATATATAAATTTCTTGGTTCCTAGGAATATGAACATTATGCATCCATAATATTTATATGAATTTTATTTGCTTTTGATATTTTGTATATAATATTATTAATTTAACTTGAGCAATTGCTCTGTTCGCATGTATTCTGAGGTTCAAGCATTTTAATATTTTTATGAAGGTTAATTTTATTTTTTGAAGTGTACATGTAAAATATATATTATATATTTGAAAATATTTTGTATTTTCGTTATTATAATACGTGTAATAATTTAATATTTGAATATGCTTTTTGTGATTTCAGTTAACTGATGCGATACCATTTATAAAGTAAATGAGATATATATATTTTATTATTTAATATATATATTCATAACGTGTGCTTCAAACGAAAAAAATTACATTATGCAAGATGTTATTTATGATTTATTAAAATAATATATTTTCATGTACATAAAATTAAAAATATCAATGTGTACTATTAAATCAAAAATATTAAAAATCTGTATCAGGGTTTTACATATAATACTATGTATATAATTCAATATAACTAATATACTATATTGCTAATATGAACAATAATTAAAAATAAAATTTCATACATATTTTTCTCATTAACAATAATATCTATACATGTGTATTAATCCTTTTTATTACAGTATATATAATATATCAATTATTATAAATTACAATTATACTCGATAATGATTATTGAATAGTAGAAATAAATATTAAGTTATTGTGAGGAAAAATAAATTATATACAAAACGATTGATGGAGAGTTATAAAGAATTATTTTCCTGTAATAGTTCTTTTTAGAGTAATATTACGAAAGTTTCCATTATTTTGTTATTACCGATTATTCTAATTTTTTTGGAGTAATATTGATGTTTTTTTTTTTTATAAACTGAAGACATATCATATTACAAGCTAAAAAAAATAAAGACGTTGTTAACAATTTATTCTTGTAAACATATAAATACAATATACATATAATTTACATATTATGATATTCCATTTTCACATTATTTTACTCCTTTGGAATATAGATTAGCAGATTATGAAGTAGAAAAAATCATAAGAATAAATATTATCATGTATAGCAAAATGAACCCTGATATAGTGATTCAAAATATGATAAAGTCAAAACATTATGAAATATATTAATTTGAGAATATTAATCTATATAATATTTCCAATTATTACATTACTTGCAATTTAATTCTTTATAAAGCTACTTTATTATAATGTAAGCATAATTATACTTCACATTATTTTATATATAATATTAGAAAGGCTAAATAATTATAAAAATATTATTAACAAAATAATGTAGTTCATTTAATCCTACTGTTTCATTCATTTAATACATTTTTTCTTGTTGCTATATTTTTGGAATTTTATTTTTATTGCTTTTCTATAATTTATTTTTTTTTTTTGTCTGTATTTAAATATATAACTGTAATAGATATGTTATTTTTAAAAAAGCGTTATTATCTTAGATATAACTTAATATATTTGTTATCCTAGTACACCTTAAACATAAAAATGTCTAATACATAGATGTATATTTAATTAATGATATACTAGAAATATGATGTTGATACCATTTTTTATTATATATATATTTCAATAATAACGTAGTTTAGAAATTACTTACATAATAAAAAATAAAAAAATGTTATATTTATATTTTTCATATATAAAAAATAATTTCCCTTATTTGCATTTTAAAATAAATAGCATATATATTTATATTACATTTTTTTATAGTGATAATTGAACAATATTCATTTTAAAATATATTATGAGTATCAAATAATTGGAAATATTAGCTTTAAAAATTCATCTATGTTATTTGTACATTTATATTATTATAAACAATATTGGAGGAACAATTAATATTACATTACATAATTGAATAACTATTTGGAGAAGATTATATAAAAATTGTGAATACATATATTTCTAATAATATGCATATAAGGTATATATACGCTACAATATTTAAATAAATGGAAATGTTCAATATACATGTATATGCAAGTAAAACGATATCTATCTATCTAATTAAAAAATAAGTCCTTATAATTTTTGATATCTATGTAGAATTCTACACTATATTATAATGATTCTGTATTAAGTGTTATTGTATTCTAATATTTTGCTTTATTAAACTATACATATGTTAATATTCCTAAATCACAAATGTATTCAATGAAAATGATTTTTTATATACATTTGTTCAATTATATTAAATAGAATTACATATTAAACGCAGATTATTTATATATTGATATTGCTTCTATTTCGTATACAGATCATAATGAAGACGATTTAATAGACAAGGATATATAACACATCTGTTTTTATTATTTAAAATTCTATGAAGACAATAAATTGAAAATTGAAAATATAATGTTATAATTGTGGAATAATATTATATAATAAAATGCAATTTTTAATAAGGTTCATTTATGTAATAAACATTAATATTTGTTATTTTTTCCTTACAAATTAAATACTTTAATATTAAGGATTATATAATATGTATGTAAGTATTTATATTGTCGGTTCTCATAAAATGGACAACTTAGAGTTATATAGTGACTATTTAAGAAAATTATAAAAATTCAGTAGTTATCATATTTATTTATAGGAAAAATATATTGCACATATATTTTATTTTAAAAATTACAGTGTTTTTTATGGAATAATTATGTGTCTCATATATGAGTATTTAGAGCATGTCTATTATTATCAAAATGAATATTTTAGATTAGTACAATAAAAATATTAATAAAATATAACATTATAAGGAATTCATACATAATATGCAGTAAGTTTATAGAAATAATATTTTATCAATTATATAGGATATATAATTATGAAATACTTTTGTACATTTCTCTTCACTATAGAAAGAAGAAAAATGTATAAACGTCATTTATTGGTTTTATATCACAATTAAATTCATAAATAAATGCATTATAATTAAACATTGTAGTATTACATATATATTATAATAAGAGAAAAAAATAAATATGATTATTTATAACTATAAAAAACGTTAAAAAAATGAAAGATACTTCAAATTCGTTGTTATTATTTGGTTTAAAAAGTATAGGCAAAAGAAAAACTTATATAGTTTACATATATAATGTACATCAATATTTTTGATTTAGAGTGTACATATACATATTTTTGATAGTATATACATTGTTGAATATAATATGATTTCAATATTTTAATTCATTCATAATATTATGTTAATAAGAGCAAAATTATTTTTCTAGCATAAGAATTTATATTTCGGTTTCTTCTTATAGTTCGGAAGTATTCTTAAAAGATATAATTTTATAATTCAAAAAATAAAGTATGTGAACGTTAATAATTTATATTTCTATTCTTTTCTTCTTTTTTAGGAGAACTTATGGAATACTCTTACTACATACATGAATTATAAAGTTAACTATACTATTTTAATCCAATACTACTTTTAAATAATATAAAATGTTTTTTCTTCATTATTTAGAACATATGAGTACATAATATATTATTATTAATTTTAAATACAAGAATTTTATTTTATGAATACCTAAATTTGTGGAAATAATTGGAAAAAATAGATTTTCTTGTGCATAATTCTTAAAATAGAAAAATAGGTACTTTACTTTTTGCAACATAATACCAATGCAATATAATTAAAAAATATACATAAAGTGTTTACTGAAAAAGTATATTATCCTGAAAGAGAAATTTTTTAAATTATCATAATTTTATCATTCTTTTTTAGAACATCAAGTATTTTAATTTTCTAAAAAAATGCTATTTTTATGTTATAAACTGAATCTTTCTCGCGTGTTATAATGATGCTTTAAATATATTGAAAAATAAATTATAAAAATTATAAATATGTAATTATTCATGAAAAAATATTTTTTATTATTTTAAAATGATAATGTTTATAATTTTTCTATATAAAAAGTAAAAAGTTAAAGTATATTTTCTACGAAGGTTTATTATTATATATATTCGTTTAATTTAGGATATTCTATTTTTATTTAAGTATGCTTAATAGAATATCGAAGTGTGTATTTACATTATCAATTTGGATTTTTCATATGAATGTTTATTTTCCAATGAATTATTAATGAACCTATTATTTATTACCCTTTTGATGTGAACTATGTTATATACACTTTAAAATTATGATTTGAGAAATTTTTTATTGTCTTAATTCATATTATATTACTTATAAAAAGAAAAAATATATAAATCAAACAAATATTCAATACAATGTATTACATTTTTTTTTAATTAT